GGGCTCCAGAGCTGGATGCAATATTCCAGTAGGGGTCTCACCAGAGCGGAGTAAAGGGGCAGAATTACCTCCTTCGACCTGCTGGCCACACTTCTCTTGATGCAGCCCAGGAAGCAGTTGGCCTTCTGGGCTGCGAGTGCACATTGCTGACTCACGTCAGGCCTGTCATCCACCAGCACCTCCAAGTCCTTCTCTCCGCAGGGCTGCTCTCAATCACACCATCACATCATATTCTAGAAAAACAATCTAGAATTTTACCTCTTCAGTGTTTAACAACATTTTGCTTATATGGAGCCTGTCTCAAGGAACAGCAGATCACACTTCTTAAAGTTTAGGTTTTCCTGCCTTCCTTACCAGAAAATTTTAACCCATCCTTGCAGCAAATCTCATACTGTCCTTTATTCCTTCTCCATAGCCTATTTAATTTGCTACTTCTCTATCAACCAGAGAAGAAGGGCATCATGCAATGGGGAATTCAAGAGTTCTATCTTCAACCAAAATAAAGCACTGCTTTTTTAATCTCCTGGTCTTCTGGAGTTTGCGTAATACTACTACAAAGAGTATAATTTCTATTAACAGTTGTGGCTTTGTTTAATTATAAGAACTATTCAACTGTATTCTAGTTCAGGGGATTTACAATCATAGAATCATTTGGGTTGGAAAGGACCTTTAAGATCATCGAGTCCACCCATTAACCTAGCACTGCCAAATTCACCACTAAACCATGTCCCTAAGCACCACATCTATGCATCTTTTAAATACCTCCAGGGATGGTGACTCCACCACTTCCTGGGCAGCCCGTTCTAGTGCCGGACAACCCTTTCAGTGAAGAAGTTTTTCTTAATATCCAATCTAAACCTCCCCTGGTGTAACTTGACGCCATTTCCTCTCATCCCATCACTGGTTACTTGGGAGAAGAGACGAATCCCCACTGCGCTACAACCTCCTTTCAGGTAGCTGTAGTAGTAGTTCACTAAATCACTAAATCCTGATGACTGTTTATTTGGTGTGGAAAAATAAATCCCTTTATTAATCTCTCTCTCTCTCAAAAGTGTTAAAGGAATGCAAATTCCTTAGGGCACTGTAAATCACAAGACTGACTTGGAAACTTACTGAAATGTGTATTTATCAGCCTAGAAGTGCTAGATCTGTCAGACCTTTCAAGGCCAAACAAATGTAATTTTAAAATATATGTACATTTACATGGGAATAAGACAGGTATGATTACATTGCCTGATAATAAATTTTATGAAAAAAATGGAGCCCTGAAATTAGAGAGCCATAGTGCATAATCTCTTGAACAGTATAATTTGTAATAGAAATGCAGACACGTTCCTAAGAATACTGTCACTAGAGGGTGTCATTATCACTTTTGTATACATATTACATTGCTTGAAGTAACATTTAAAGCCACAGATAAGGGTGTTATTAATGAGAATTAAACCACAAATTTATCTTATTATTCTATACGCACGCAAAATGCATAGGAACAAATACACTTTGAAAATTTCTAATTCTAGGAAATGAATTTTTTTTTCTTTTTAAAGAAAGCATTTAATGACTGCTAACCTCTTTCTCTGTAGGGTATAAAACATTTCTATAGCAAGCAGTATAATACTGATTTATGAGACTCAAGAAACAACTTTTCCTGTACAATCTAACGTGACCTTTGAGATATTATCTAAGGTAGCAATCTCAGTATTATGCTTACAAACACTTCTTATCCTACTTAAAATATTATCATACCTTTTTTCTGTTAAATACCCTTCCCTCTACAACTTGAGCTGACCCTTGGCACAACGTGCTAAAGCAACTTCAGTTCTCATTTGTGTTTAGATAGCTGTGGTTTTATATTTGTCATCTAGCATGTGGCAGCACTTTACTGCACGATTATTAACAGGTGTTTAAAGTGGCAAAAAGAAAGGAAGACACAAAAAGGACATATCATATCATCATTTCCTGTTTGTCCTTCTCTGTCCTCCTGTGGCACAGCCCTTTGGTTATCCAAATCACACGTGCTTCACAAAAGCAACTGTTCTGATGGCTAGCAAAGAGTTAAGGAAATAAAGGCTAATTGCTCAGTGATAACTGGACGACCATCTGTAGACAGTACAAGTGCCAGGGCAGAACAGCGATCAGGTTATAATGGCTTTACCACTCCAGTAAGTAACAACCCAAACAGGGCTGAAAGCTACTGAAAAAAAAAAAAAACACCACAAAACCAAAACCCCAAAACCCATAACAAAAGCAAAACAACAAAAAAACCACCAAAAAACCCAAAACCCAACACCCACCGCTAAGTCACGCTTGCTGCACATGCTGCACAGCAACACCTGAGGAGCATGAAGATGACAAAGCATAATACTTAGAATATATACTGTATCTGAGTACATAGACATGTATCAAACAATGGAAGCGTTTGATGCATGCCCCAAAATAATAAAACGCTTACTGAAATAAAAGCCTTGTCTTTTCTGATTTACAGCATCCCACTGAAGTGGTAACATAAGAACTAATATTCAGCTAAACAATATTTGTGTTCATAATTATAACCACACATGACAGGGCACCCTTTCTCCAATCTTTTAAACAAAGATATAGTCATGCTAAGCTTCTAAAACTATGAAAACATCTAGAACAACGAATGAAGTGTTGCTAAAAATATTCCAGTTTGTCATCTCAGAGTATGAGGAAAAGCTACAAACAGATGACAACAGCAAGAGAGGTTAGCATTGTTCATATTTTCAGCTGGAGAAGATTATGAAAGATACACAAAGTGAGAGTCTTTTGATAAAACAATGTCTCCTTAAAAAAAAGAAGTGTCTATATCACAAACATAAAAGATACTAATACTTACACTTCCTTACACTCTTCATCAGTGTAAAATCTATAACTGGATGTGTAAATGTCTCACAATACCTTTTGATGTTAAGCTTGTAACTGTCACATTAAAATGTAAAATTGGCTAAACCTTCTAAAGTATTGTTACTGAGAAAAAAATGTGTACCTATACATTGATGTCTGATAGCAATGCTGGGGAGGAGGTGTATGTGAGTGTGTGTGTGTTGCTTTAATTACTGCCAAAATATAAAACAACTTCTACTCCCCAAAAAATAGTGAATATGGAAACTTCTACTCCCCAAAAAATAGTGAATATGGAAACTGCGGTTTAAATAGACACCACTGGAAAACTAACTTGTAAGTTTCATACTGAAAAAGAACATCAATCAATGAACAAAGTAGGATATTGAAACCAGATACTTGGTAAGAAAATCACTAAAGACTAGGCCAAAAAGGTCAAGGATGGCATATTTGTCCATCAATTATTCGTATCAGAGGAAATGAACTTCCACACTTTTAAAGCAGCTGCAGCATCTTGGCTTCTGACAATTCTCTTACTCTCTGTAGATAACTAAGCATAGGTTTAATTGCGCTGAACACTACTTAAAACTTTAGAAATCTAATCTTTTCCTGTGTGTAAATATACTGGGCATAAGGAAAGTTATCACTGCACCTATCCAAAGGGAGGGGATAGCCTGCACAAAGAGAAATTCCCTGCCAACATCCTTGGTCTTTGATGTCTTTTTTTGGTTTTAGATATATATCAAGAAAGCTGAATTCTTGCCAGAAAAGTAATAATACAGTACTCTGCAAAGATGGCAGACAAAGAACTGGTCTTCTCAGTGCTCACAGAAAGCTAGTGCACAAGTGTGGCACAACAGACGCCTCCACTCACAATTTTTGACTACACATGCACATAAATCTTACATACAAAACCCAGAACATGCAGTTTCAAAAAAATTGCAAGAAAAATGTGTACTTTGAGAAATTTCCTCTTATCTAAAAGTTTGGAAAATGTGCCCTACAAAACTTACTGCTATTAAGGAATGCTTACTGGATTGTTCTGCTGCTAATGTATTCTTCACAATTGAGTGCCTCTTTGTGATGAACTAGATGCATATTCTTGTAGTCCTATTCCAAGCATAATTATAAAAGAAAATACTTTGCAAGTTATACTGCCTTTAGTTACCAAGAATATTTTTCTGCACTGTTTTGCAAGTCTGATTTTACTACTCAAATATGTATACATTAGTTGTCCATCCTGTGTTAACAGACCTTAATATTTTCCCCTTTCATTATACTGTAACTTTAAGAAACTCTGAAGTTATGTTTTAGTAATTAGTTAGCAGGTTGTCAAAGACTAATACTCTGTTAAATACTATGTTTACAGAGATAATGGGCAAAGTTCAAACATTTGCTAGCATTTATTACTTGTTCATATAAGCGAGTTATTTTCTAGATGTTAAAATACTAGCTGAATGCTACAACATCTGAAAATAATGTTCTCCCCTCTAACACATGATAGCAAGTAAAAAAAAAATATTCTACTATCCACTAAAAAGGATTAAATAAAGTACACCACAGACTACAGAACTTAAAAAGCAAGCAAGATTTGAAGCAGGCAAAATAGCTCCTGAATGTAGCTGTTTGTAAAAACAATTAATTGTTTCATAATATTGAAACATGTTTTGTCATTTCCAAATGGACTTGTTATTTTAAAGTTCTCTGAAATTAGCTTTAAACCAAATAACAAGAACACAGCCCCAGGGGTTATTTCTGCCTGCCTCTGCTGTAGAACTCACCACATGTTCAACATTTTCTGGCAGCTATACAGGAGAGTAAGGGAAAAAAAGAGAATCAGAATACCAAACAGAGAATGAATTTCACATTTTTCATGCGTAACTTCTGGTAGTCAGAACACTATCTTAAAATAAATATTTCAAAATTAGTTCAAGTATCAAAAATGCATGCACTTCTCTAGTATAGACAGATTTGTTATTGAGGGCTTAGCCTAAAAAGCACAAGTTATAGAAAATCTATTATTTAAATATGTAAAGCCAAAATTAAGTATAGCACTACAATTTTGCCGCTCACCAGTGGTTATTCAGTTTAGACAGTATTTTTTAAATAATTATACAAGAAAAATTTTGGAACAGCTGAGCACACAAGATCTAAAGAATATAAAAAGATGGACATACTTAGTTTCATCCATTAATTCTATTGCTGCAGGAGCTGTGATGGGTGCATTTGAACGGCCTGCAGTTGGGTCATCTGTGTTCAGTTCTCCATTTGTTGAGCTTACTACCTGAAATCACCAGAAATACCTGAAATTATGCTAGTGCCAGACATACATTTGTCAATTCCTAAAGTTACAATGCATCTTCAAAATCAGTAATTTTTGTTCATTTCTTAATTTTTTAATTCCAATACTAGTAACTTTTCCAGGTTTTATTCCTGCATCCCTGCACTCCTGCCATTTTTCTTTCATATCTACTGGTGGAACTGACATCTATACAACAGACAAAGTCAGTGGACTAAGCAAAACAATTCTGTTGACCAGCTTTGCCGATCTCCCTCATGTCTTTTCAGAGCCTTAAGGGAAGGCACTAACTCATTTCCTGATACCAATTCAGTCAGTCTTACCATCTCTCTGTTTCTTTAGTGTATTTAAGCTTCCCAATTTCCCCTCTTTGTGTGGCTGGATTCAGTTGTATCTCAAAGAGTACTCACCAGAAGAGGGGAAAACTAAGACTTTTTCTAGACCTAAGAGTGTAGGTAGTGTTTCGTTTTCACTCTTAGAGCACAAGAACACTAATTACATTCAAAAAAGAAAATTAGATTCATCTTCATTCCCATTAATTTACTCTCAAATTACTTTGTAAATTCTTGAGCCACTGGGAAAGCTCTAGTTCTATGGGAATATTTGTTTTGACTTTAAACCAAATAGAACGCAATATTCTCTCTCTCAGTTCCTGTCAGCTCTCCCACATGACAAATGAAACTATTCCAGAGGGTTCTCCCTTACTCACCTCACAGAATCTCCCAGGAAGATGGTTAACTGGATACAGACAAGTGCATATCTGCTCAGGGCAGCTGACAATGCTAACTGACCGACTAAGTATCAAGAGGTCAACTAACTACAAAGTGGCAGCAAATGTATGTCACCTCTAAGCATGTGGAGGAAAAGAAGGTTGCCAGAAGTAGTCAACATGGGTTCACCAAGGGGAAATCATGCTTGACTAATCTGATAGCCTTCTACAATGGCATGACTGGCTGGGTAGATAAGGGGAGAGCGGTGGATGTTGTCTACCTTGACTTCAGCAAGGCTTTTGGCACTGTCTCCCATAACATCCTCATGGGTAAGCTCAGGAAGTGTGGGTTAGATGAGTGGACAGTGAGGTGGATTGAGAACTGGCTGAATGGCAGAGCTCAGAGGGTCGTGATCAGAGACACAGAGTCTAGTTGAAGGCCTGTAGTTGGTGGTGTTCCCCAGAGGTCAGTTCTGGGTCCAGTCTTGTTTAATTTACTCATCAATGACCTGGATGAAGGGTCAGAGTGTACACTCAGGAAGTTCTCTGATGATGCAAAACTGGGAGGAGTGGCTGATACACCAGAAGGCTGTGCTGCCATTCAGTGAGACCTGGACAGGCTGGAGAGTTGGGCAGAGAGGAACCTGATGAAGTTCAACAAGGGCAAGTGTAGAGTCCTGCACCTAGGGAGGAATAACCCCATGTACCAGTACAGGCTGGGGGTTGACCTGCTGGAGAGCAGCCCAGCGGAGAAGGACCTGGGAGCGCTGGTGGACAACGAGTTGACTGTGCGCCAGCAACGTGCCCTCGTGGCCAAGAAGGCCAATGGTATCTCGGGGTGCATTAGGAAGAGTGTGGTCAGCAGGCTGAGGCAGGTTCTCCTCCCCCTCTACTCTGCCCTGATGAGGCCACATCTGGAGTGCTGTGTGCCGATAAGGAACTACTGGAGAAAGTCCAGTGGAGGGCAACAAAGATGATGAGGGGACTGGAGCATCTCTGTTATGAGGTAAGGCTGAGGGAACTGGGTCTGTTCAGCCTGGAGAAGACTGAAAGGGGAATCTCATCAATGCTTATAAATACGTTAAAGGTGGATGTCAAGAGGATGGAGCCAGACTCTTTTCAGTGGTGCCCAGGGACAGGTTAAGGGGCAACATGCACAAACTGAAACTCAGGAAGTTCCACCTTAACATGAGGAAGAACTTCTATGCTCCAAGGGTGGCAGAGCACTGGAACACATTGTGCAGGGAGGCTGTGGAGTGTCCTTGTTTAGAGATATTCAAAACGTGCCTCAACACGATGCTGTGCAACTTGCTGTAGGCGACCCTGCTTTGGCAGGGGGGTTGGACTAGATGATCTCCAGAGATCTTTCCAACCCTGACAGAAATATCATTCTGGCCAAATAATATAAGAACCTGCAGAAAACACCTGTACACATATTCAGCTACAGGAATGTGGACCAATAGTGGTTCATAGTTCAAGATTTTTACTAGCTGTTGCTTGAAGGTCAGAGATCAAGGTAGAAGAAAACAGAGGGAAGGAAAGTTAACCTCATAATGTTACTCTTCCACTCACCACTCACCTTTCCAAGCTCTTCTCTTAACTTGGCAGTTATGTTTCATCTGTTTATAAGCAGAGCTCATAGCCTCGCCTACTGAAGTTTGCTTTGTGGTTCCTATTGTAACTAAGCACAGAGGTTCAGAAGTTTGCTGAACTTAAGCGGTTTTCCATGCCATATGCCTACAGCAGGCTGAGTTTGTCGGGGTTTTTTGGTTGGTTGGTTGGTTTTTGGTTTTTTGTTGTTGTTTTTTGTTTGTGTTGAGTTTCACTAAAATAGGAACCACTGCCAAAAAAATCCTACAGCCTAATAACAAAACAAAAGGAACGATATCCAAGATTCAAAGAACCCAATTACTTAAATTTTGGTCAACATAACTGAAGGAATTCTGGGAGACTAGACTTTAATTCTGTGATGACAGGTCAGTCAGTAGAGTTTCAACCAGGTGGCTTATGCTTAGTTTCATATCATCGGGGATGGCAGAAGCATTAAACATTCACTCACAGAAATAGGTAGGAAATGTACTTTAACAAATCATAAGATGGTGGGTCAGCCATCTTAAACTAAACACTGGGTTAGCAGATTTTTTTTAGAAGTACCTTAATATTTATTGTCATTATTGTCCATATTTACTGGTATGGGGAAATAGTATGACCCCAGCCATCTCATCAGGCATCTTAACTGTGCACAGTTTCATAGCTTCTTGTGAAATATCCAGCTGTAACAGTGATAATCAGAGCAGAAACATACGATGTTTGCATGGGAAGCACTTGCTAAATAAGACAGGATCATTCATGAAAATGTAAGGGTAAAAAAATTTGCTCCACTTGTCCACCAAGTGAGTTTTGTATCCAAAGGATCCAAATCATAACTACATAACTAATCACAACTACAGCCTCAAGTAATCCATATAAAGCAATGCGACCCAGTTAAGATTGTAGTCAACCTTGCCAGCAGTCCTAATAATTCAGGATTTCTGCTCCATGACCTAGATTTAAAATGAGCTTTCTAAAGAGATCCTCAGACCTGTGTTGAAATTTCAATAACAATGGTTGATCAGAAACAGAAGCCTTTTTCTTCAGTTTACTCAAGTAAGAGTAGGGTCCATCAAGAAACATCAAGACAGTTATATGCCCCTTTCTGGATAGAAAGCAAACCCATACACCTTAGTATTCCTGACTGTTGTGACAAACAGGTGACAGTTTGCACAGGTTATTTGCTAGAACTTCAATTTTCTTCTCTTTTCCTACAAAAAGCAAATTAAAACATTTATGACTTTTACTCAAATATCAAACACATTGCCCAACTCTAGCATCTCTGGAGCTTTCACATGGCAGTCTCCTTCACCTTTCTTTCCCAGGAGTGCCTATTCAATCATTCACCTCTATCTTCTTGGACAGCAGATTCAAAAGAAGGGATCAAACTCAAGCACGTATACATTCTTCATTTGAACTGGAAAACATGAAAGGAGGTATCTAAAAATCCTTCCTGGATTAATAATCTAGTCATGAATATTATTTTTCAACAATAGGTTGAAAAAATCCATCTTTCCCTTCTGATGGATGAAAAATGTTAGGAGCAAGCAAAAACATTTTGACAGGAACAAAACTGTATCTAAACATGTTTTTATAGTCTGCCCTTCTATCACTGCTAAAGGAAGTCTATTCTGGAGAGGTAAGCAGATCAACAAAAAAAGGTTTGCTACTCTGGTTCAAGATTCATGGATAGTTCCTATCATCCTTTGTCAACAACTCTCTTCTGGACTCTTTGGAACCTCTTCTGGCAATTGTTAAAAGAACATCTGCAAGATTTGAGCAACTCATAAAACCAAAAAACTTCCTGGTTCATGACAGGTTTGGTTTTTGGTGTTTTTTTTCAAATCACAGTTAAAGTCATACTAATCTGAGCTGACTCCAGCTTTAAAGGAGCAATAACAATCTTCTGCTTAGGTCAATGCACTGCCATATGGTAACAAAAAATAAAACTTATTTCAGAGTTTCCCAACACCTTTATATGCTTATAAAAGAGGAAGCAGAGAAGTTGTAACACTCTCTTTGGTGATTCTTTTCTTGAAATTCTTCAAATTGACTTCAAAACTGAATTGTATTTCTTGACAGTGGTTTCCTTTAGTGGGAGAAGTTTTCCTTTTCAAGACAGCATTTGTCCTAAGGTGTTTTTTTATTAATTTGACTGTTTTCTCTAAGAAACCTTAACACAAACTTTGTAGAAACCTTTGGACCAGAGAGCAGAAGACTGTCCCGCCTCACTCCAGTCGATCTCTATTGAAAAGATAGAGATCAAGGAGAAAGAGACCTCAGTCCTTCCCATATACATACACCAGACACATCCACCACATACATAAGCAAATATGATCAAGTATAAGTGCCTGTTACATAGCTTAGTTTAGATGGGAGGAAAACAAAGTTCATCTTTCTGGAAAGATCTGTGATGTCTGAAAGCATAAGTGAACCAAAGAGTATTCATTGGTAGTCCAAAAAACAGCATCAGTCATGCTTCTCCAGCATCACAAATGTCCTGAGTTTTGCTCTTCTCTACTACTGCTGAAAACAGCTCTAGGAAAAGTCTCAGTAAAATGAAGAATCAAGAATTAATACACTTGCGACACAGCAAAATATTTACCTTTAAAAAAAGCCAAACAACTAACAAGGACTCATTGAAAGGAGTGCAAGCGATAGGCAGGGTGCTTCAGCTCCAGTATCAGTAAGGCTACAACTGTATGATCTTGCAATCATAAGTTCCGTACCTTGCTAAAATAACCTACAATGCCATAAGTTAACTCCCTGTAACATCAGTAAAATATTTTGCAGTCTGACCAAAACGTGCATTTGGTAGAAAACTGATAATGCAGTGTACACTCCAACTACACGCCAATCATCTCAAAAATCAGCACAACACAGGTAGAAAGATAAGGGAATATAACAAAACCGAACAAGAATAAGTCACCTGGAAGACAGCGTATGCACTGAAAGTGTGGTACACCAAATTGTGTAGCCAGGATGTACCACAAATAAGGCACAAATAAGATTCATCACTATGGATCCACATAAAAAGCTAAACTTTAGGAAAGCAGAGAGTATAACCAATAGACAAAACTAACAGTGCCTATAAGAAAAATTTTTTATTTCATTTCTCTACTTATGACTGGCATTGGACTGGATTTCCTCAGTAGCCTGATGAAAGATGAGAGGCACAATTCATCTTAATAGCTTTGTTTACAATTGTAGTGAAAAAATGTGGATATTGAAGTTAATGTTTTTACGCCTAAAAATTCTGTTAACAAAAAGAATTAGGTTTCTGAAAACTAGTATTTTAAACTTAGTTTCAAATTAGAAGTGTTGCAATGTTGAAGATTAACTTAAGCTACTCACCTATACAAAAGTGGGAGACTAACCGCTAAGCTGAAAGCCTAAAACAACTTTAAGCATTTTGATAACAGATCTTATCCTGGTTTAAATTTAGTTCCTTTAAATTTAATCAGTTCTTTAAAAGTTTAATTTGAAGAGCACATATATAAAGAAGTATATGCATCGTATTGGCTGTTTCTTGCTACCCTCTATACCATAAGGCAAACAAAATACTAAACCCACTACCTAATACCAATACATCAACTGTGGGACCGACTAGTTTCTCAGATATATGGTTCCTCAGAAGCCTCCTAAGGTCCAGTTACAATCAGGCAAAGTTAAGCCTGAACACCAATCCCCCAAATAGTAACAGTAAATCTTCAGGCTTTGTTTTGTTTGTTTTGGATCAGTATGTGAACTAATCTTTTACTTGCTATGTTCAAAAGTCAGTCAGAAAGTCTCTCATAAAACAAATTTTGCTGATTTGCATGCTTATAATTACAACAAGAAATTGCAAAAATTTGAAAAATACATAGAAAATAATCCTTCATTTCATTACCCATCTCAGTAACTGAATTCTCTATTCTTCAAAAAATAATGCCAGCCTTCATGCCTAAGCAATTCATTAGTGATACTACATAATCCTATATTTTACCTTCAGAAAGCTTCCAGTTAAGACAAAAAGAATATAAAAATTCACAAAAACTTATGGAAATTTGTTTCATCTAAAGCATTGCTATCTTGACTTCTTGAAGGAGAGGTGTCTTGCAACTCAGGACTACTTACGTCAAACATGTAACCTTTCAAGCAGTTCCTAAGCACCTTTCAAGACCTATGGTGCTTCACTGGGAAATCTTTAACCTGATCTTTTAATCTAATCTCCTTTTAAAGAACTTCCAAATGGGAAAACAGAAAGAGAAAGGGTAAGAGGAAGCAGACCAGCTAGCAAGTGATGAAAAGAAGTAATGAACCGATTAGTACAGTCTTTATGACTGTATAATCAGTTTGCAGTTCACTCAGAGAAGGAAACAATTCAGTGCGGTACAACTGACATTTTTGGGAACTGAGGCAAACTTATACAGACACAGGAAGTTGCTGAACACGTTTTTATCTTATTCTAAATAGAGGTAATTGGAAGAAGGGATGTGAACTATTTCTACAGGTCTTCCCTTTACAAGTCAATTTGGTAACAGTATTTGAACTTTAAACATGAACTGATACTACAAAGTAAAATTAGACATGATTAAGCACATTAGTGTGTCTCTAAGACAGGCCTAGAGAGGCTGGGATAACTTAAATTAATACAAACCTCACAATGATTACTATTAAGGAACAAAAAACATTTAGAACCTGAATGTTTCCCACTTGAACATCGTTACTAAGAGCGTAAAAATACATACTAGCATACATGTATGTGCACACCAACATTCAGTCCACTAGAAATTAATATGTCACAGCGAAGAAACACTAACATATTTTAATAAACTTCTACAGAAGGATCTCAGAGATGGCATCATCAGTAGTATTACAGATGACTAATAACAGTGACCTAAAAAACATTCTGTTGTCACTTTAAATTAGAATTATCTGCCAGATTTTCATATCTTGCAGAAAAACAGATAATTCAGCATAAAACTGATCTCAAAGACGAGCAATGACTTACTAATGTCACAGAAAAAATGAATACACTTTAATTTCATACCTTAGATTCAACTATCCTTTGAAAAATTACCTGTGGCACGTTTAGCACATGTCTTCTTGGGGACAATTAGGAATCCAGCTAAACTAGCTAGCTTACCATCCAACTTAATAGAATGATTCAGTTAGTATCGATACAACAAAGGGGTATTTGACAGCAGTCAAGGGCTCAAACGTCAAAACAAAACTAAAGATAGTACATAGTTTTATAAGTGCCTTTAATGAGGAAGCACGACCACTCCACATTAAAAAGCAACTCAACACCCTTGTGTACAACACTTGATCTTCAAAGACGCAGACCAAATGGCTGCAGTTTTGCGCACTGTTCTTTTTACACGTCAACTGTTTCGTGTCAACTGACCTAAGTGATCTGAACTCAGAATGCCCATATCCTTTGAGGAAAAAAAAAAAAGGAAGAACGTTATATTAACAGAAAGGAATACTACTGGTGTTTCCTAGAAAATGTTCTCCCTGCCCCTAAAATTTAACATATATTACAATGGAATAAAATCTCTTGCAAGTGTTACATTTTACCTGAGAAAGAACAAAAGGTTTCTTAGGAGCCATGATTGCCAAAAGAATATGATATGATACACAATTTGAAAGTTCTAGTAACTGAAATTTAACAAGGTAAATAAACGTTTTTCTAATCTAAAAAATAAAAAATTAAGAAATGTAATAATTTTGAAAGACACAATGTCAAATCCAATTTTGATTCCACATTACTGTACGGTTCTCAAAAGATAAATGACTACCTTTAAAACTGATGTTATTGAGAGAACTATTGCAACTCAAGGTAAATATTCAGATCAAGTTTTTAAAATACTTGTTTATGGGAAGCATAGAACAGTTTTGAAACCTCTCTTGATACAGAGTGATAATTACCATCTACCAGCTTTTCTTACATGACACATGGCAATGGTTTCTAAAGTAGCAAATTTCAAAGACCGTTAAGTTTGAATCGAGTTTCAAAGCATTCAAAGAAGATAAGGAATTATCACACTGGTGAGACTACAGCACTGTTTTTTTCTTTTTACCCTGGACTTCCCATTCTTTCTTCAGGCATTGACAAATTTTTTCCAGAGCAAAACTTCATAAGAAATATACATAATTTAGGTTGTCAGAATCAAAATGCAGCAGACAGAAAATACTTTTTTCCCTAGACAACACTTTACAAAGTTAAATTATTTTCATTTCAGACTGAAAGCTCAAAACCTCATACAGACTTTGCAGCTGGCATTTTGAATCCTATATTACATTTAGATTTCTTTATGTATTATCCCAACTATCTCACCCCAAAAGATACTCAAGGAACAAGACATCAAAAAGTGAAATTGAGAGCAAACTAAGAAGAAAAGCTCTTTGAAGATGAAATAAATAATAATAAAGGAAAATTTGTTGTTTTCTACTCATTTTTCTACTGCTAAGTGTGAAGTAGTACCCTGGGAAACATTCTTCTAGTCAACTATTGTTTGAACAAAACTAGTAAAGTTTAAGCAAAAATCACTACTTAACACTTTCATCTGAAGTTTACTTAAGGAACAAAAAACATGACTAACAGCACTGAATTCAGTCAACAGTGGTTTAGTTGCTAATACAGCTAAAGAACACATAAAAAGTCTAAACTTCAGTCGCTTGCAGTGATGTAAGTGTATATGCCCTCAAAAACAGAGGTACTTCCATTGTTTTAGGCTTTCACTAAGAAACATGTAGCACACATACAAAAAGATCCATAGTTTTCCGCACCTGTTTTAATTTCAGTTTAGCAATAGTGAAGTAGGGAATAATACGAACATTCTGAACATTACTGGAAAGCGAGCTTAATATGAAAACAGGAATCATGTCATGCACTACAGGAATCTAGTATTACATAATGCAAGATGGCTAAGTCATGCAAAGAAGCAGAAAATACCTGTACCGAGCCACCATGCCTGTCAGCTGCTAGGTGAGCCCTCAAATGATGTGGATTGGCTTGCTGTGAGTTGCAAGCTGCCCTGTGGTCTGCTGACTATCATTTTTCAATGCATTTGGAATATATGCAAAAGAAGAAATAAAAATTCCAAAAATAAACAATTCATGAATTAATTATTATATATTATTTTTAAAGAGCACAGAAGTACTACCTACTCAATTCCTATATAGACTTTACATCAACATTATGTGCATATTTATGCATGCCTACACATACATTATCAGACAGAAGGTACCTAAAATTCAAAATTCCTAGTAAGAAACAAAGTCCATCAACACAACCCTGTAACTTAGCTTAGGTAAATGGACATAGATCTAAATTGTTTTACCACCTTGGTCATTATCCTAGTTTAAAAATACAAGTGAAAATGTTACAGACACATGTTAGAACCCCAACAGATGATATAGCATATGGAGAAGAGACAGTGATTAAAATTTCAAGACATATGAGCAGAGAAAAAATTCACTACCGATGTAAGCTATGTTATACCATAACATCAAACAAGCAAGGTTTTAGGAAATTTTAAGGTCTACAGATGTAGAAACACATTAACAAGGATCTACTTAAATCAAAGAAAAAACAAAGGCCTGAAGTCAATTTTATTTTGGAGTTCTAATGAAAGCAACAACATAGCATAAATCATTGGACAAAAGACAAAGTAATGCTGATAATCTTACTGAGCAGTTTACCTGATTTTTGGATTGTTGCATTTTATCTCTGTGCTGATATGCATCTCTGTTTGAAGACACTGCAGGGTCTGAATGTATTGAACCCACTGGAGTAGGCTACAAATATAAATAATATGTAGCAACTGGTAAAAAAATAGATTTCTAAATCTTATCAAAACTTACTGGTTTGCAATAGAAAATAATCTTTAAATCTGACAGTTTCCCATGACCCAAAATTATCAAATTAAAGCAGAAGCTTAACTAGATAATTACTAACACCAAAGAGAAAAAAAAAGACCTATACAATTTCATGAAGTACCAACTCTGAGTATTATCACACGTTAATTTTCTGAAAGACTTTAGGCTGCTATTTTCTGCAGTTAGAAGTTATGACATTCTGATGAAGGCCTGAAGAAAGGCTTCAAGTAATTTTTAATGCTAATCACTGAAAAAAGATTTATCAACAAATAGTACGATTCTTTCAGAGAGTCACACAAAGAATTTCAGGGTAAAATGTATAATCTGAAATTGTCCAATTTACACACACAACCCCTTCCCTACTTACTATAAAGAAGAAAGAAAAGATTTGAGGTGCCGAAAAATTCATCTTTAAAGAATATAAACACAGTATTTTCAGTAACTTTAGATGCACTGTGATGGAAACTGATACTCTACATCATATTTCATTAGAACAATGCATAAAAAATACAGACAGTTTCTTCACAATGAACTGATGAATATCTGGAGTATACCTCAGATGCAGGGAAGGGATAGCTACATTTTAAAATTACTGGGAGCAAGAAAGTCCCCAAAGCAAGAAAATACATGTAATAATGACAATCACCTGCAAAGTTTAAACTCCTTCAACTCAAAAATCAGTCTGAATTCCTACAACCTCATTTTGGCTTGAGCAGAGATTTGCTTTGATACTAAGAGTACATGTTTGGAAAGAGACTCAGTATGAAACATCTCAAGCCGACAGATAATGTTTGAAAATGCATCTGAAAATGGGTTTGTAGTAGTAGCTGTTCACAAGTCTAATAGCAGCCATGAGATGCACATGTATTCTGAAACTCAAGACTAACACTGGCTCAAAACAGATCACACAAAAAAAACAGTATATTACTAATAGCTTAATTGTACTCACCAACTGTTTGCCAATCCAGTCATATTCATAATCAAACACATAGCCTTTCCGATCAAGTAAGTCTGTGAAGAGTTTTCTTAAGTAGTCATAGTCCGGTTTTTCAAAAAAATCTAGCCTTCTTACATAACATAGATATGTAGCCATTTCCTCTATATAAATAAGAAATGTACACAATTGCCATACCTGTTCTAATGGCACTCAAAGAAGAGTACTTATTATTACATTTTAAAGCAACTTCTACCTCTTACCATAAAACCTGAGCATTTGTTCACCATGAATCTGAATTACCAGAAAGAAAAGCTACTTAACAGTAATTACATTTTTCAAGATATACTGCCGTATTTTAAACAAGTAACCCCTCCCTACTAATTTTTCTATTGCATTACCTGTCGAGGTCTTTCATTCAACCTGCCAATCATGATGCACAATGTGCCAAAAAAGTGGGGAGAGAAATGCCTCCAATTTTCAAATTTTTTTTTCAATTAATTGTACAAAGATAAGCCTAAGGAAAGTAAAGAAAGGGGCATACGAATGTACAGAGTAGACTATGTCTCAAAGAACACCTGTTATTGCAAGGTAACCTTCCTTTCTTTATGAGAGGATCCATATGTACGTTCTCAAGTGGGCAACTCCAATAAAACCTACTCAGTATAGGCTCTGTTGAGCTATAACCGTAGTATGACTATGGAAGACTGCAACAGTGCTGAATGCTTCAGGCATCACGTTATGTGAAGGTACTGGGCAGAAGTAGTAAATATCCTGAACAGAAACACTGCAGAGAAGTACTAGGGTTACCTGAGCTCTTGCAGAATGACTTCTGACCAGCGTCAGCTTAATATCACTGTTTAAATACCATGACAGCATACAAATGGAGATTCCTTTGGGTAGATGTTACATGGAAATTGTAAGATTCTCCCTGTAGTGGAGACAACCAGGGAGATTTCTTACAGGGCCTGGACCTGTAAAGATAAAGGGGAAGAGCCTTCCTAGTCGTTAAAGGGTATGAAGTACAAACTGCGCACTAGCAGCCACAACCTTCTCGTTAAGACAAGAGTTCCAGCACAAACCTCCTGGCAAGTGAGTAAAGCATACAGAAGTCCCATTCTTGATAATGGGTTTAAGCCATGAAAGGCTTCTGAGACAATAGCTGCAAGGAACAAGCATCCTTATGGACAGAAGACTACAAGAATCCAAGGGCTGAAAGGGAGGACCCGTGAACATCTGAAGCACAAGCTTCAAACTTCATCAAGAAACTGCTCAGACATGTGACTATATTTGCAGTAACTCCTTTAGGAATTCGTGAAGTGAGTGGCATGTGGAAATATAACAGTCTGAGAAAAATGCAGATAGTGAGAAGAGATAAATGTTAACAAGCTTTCACAAAAGACCAAGTCCTATAGGTCCTTCCACTCCAGCAGGTACTATAAGAAAGAACTGAAGTACTGAAAGAGCGAAGAGGGCAAGAACCTAACCATACTGAAAGTTTTGTTCATTCAGACTTCATTCATCCACACCTTCCTGTTATAGAAAGGAAGAAAGGAAAAAAAAAAAGAGGGGGAAAAAAGTCACACTGCAGTGGTTTGGAATAGAGTACTGCAAAACTTCTCACAATCTGGTATGGATCAAGTGAAGCACATAACCCAAGTCCTTGGACATGAGCTCCAGGCAGACAGACCTCTTAAAATCTAACTTGTTTAGGAAACTTTATAGCTCATGAAAGAGTAGGAAACCAATCACTGGCAAGCCATTCTGAGAAAAGCAGTGACTCCCCACTCCCAAGCCAAAAAGGTTGTTCACATAGTCCCAAAGAGAGAGTCCCAAACAAGAGAAGGCACCTCTATATGACCAGAAAGTCAGAAGATGAGTAAGGTTCAAAGTAGATGCCACCAGCATTCCCTGATTCTATGAAGAGGTATGTAGGTATGTAGGTCAGAAGCAGCACAACAGTATCACCGCACACTCACCCTGACCCAGACATCACATTCCAGTACCTCTGCAGAAGCTGATATTTTATGGTACAAACAAGGTGCTGTAAGAAGCCTGTCTTCTAACAGAGGATGTCTGAGAAGTGCAGAGGCAGTGCTAAGATTGAGCTATACTAAGTCAAACTCTCTCAGAGATCTGTGTTAGGAGGAGGGAGTATTGAAGGTTTGATGCTAGCTTGGTAACAAATATGTGAGGCAGCATCGTGTTGGTGCTGTCATGAATGTACCACAGGACAATGGTGCTGAGACATCCCAAATTACTCAGTTCTGACAAAAATACAGTATTAAGCACTATGTTTTAGGCATGAGCACATGCAGCAGTAGATAGGAGGAATTCCTTGGCACCTAAGATCCAACTCTGCAGACAAGTAAGATTCTTCAGAAATAGTTGCCAAGGAGATCAGTGTTTGAAGAAGGCAAAGAGAAACGCTGATACCTTGCTAGGGATCTCTGTAACTATACATTCCCAACATAAACCAGAAATCAAAGCATGCAAGGCATGTCTTCAGAGGTATGAAGGTTGGAACTGGGCCTTTTAATGAATCTGTTTCAACTGGCTGACTCCAAAAAATCAAATACCACCCTTATCATGCATTTGAAGCAGAAACTCCAGAGTTTAAATCATTGCTCATACTTTACACAAGGCTTGAAACAGCAGTAGTGTTGCACACTCAAAGACAGTATAATTCCACATAACAGGGGATGAAGTGTTTCACATCTGACAAAGATCAAAGTATCTTTCACTGATACTACAAAGTTCTCTTGCCTTGTGGGATATCCATCAGCTAGCTCAGTCCGTAGACTTGACTGAAAAGAACTGAATTGATGGCGGATGTACTTCTCATTCTATTCTACGTCTTAAGTGACAAGAAGGACAGAAAAAGGTAGAAAATCCTCAGATATCTGACATGTAAAAACCTCCATATACAAGAATGTTTGTTAGGAAAATGTATGTATGTACTATCAAAGAAGTTTTATCTTTTCCCTGTTCCATTTTCACATCCAACTCTGTCAACAAGCATGTACTTGATTAAATTTGGCAGAAATAGTCCACTAGATATATGAAGCTACTCATGCACAATTATTTCCAGGCATTGCACCATATATACCTTAAAGGAGCTATTTAAAAGGATTCTAGCACAAAAATCAACATGCAAGACATGCATGCATTATTGGATGCAGGAGACTTATATTCCAGAACAGGTCTTCCCCACACACACATTTAAACTTTTGTCAATTCACCAAACATATATTCAGACGTGAGCTCTAAGTTCTGTAACAGTCAATTTCACTTGATTTTTTTTTCCTAAAATACACAGAAGAAAGTGAAGTGAAAAACGTAAGAAAAATTGATAATGGACTAATTTTTACCATAGGACTGGAAAGAACTTCAAAATGCCATCTAGTACACCACCCTAGCCCATAGAAAATCAGTTACAGCCTTGTCCGTCCGGTTTGTTTTCACACAACTCCAGTGAAAGAAGCTCCATAGTCTCCCTGGCAATGCCAATCACTTCATGCTCTTCACTTTATTTGAACACAGGAGTTCAAGTCCAAACTTCACTGCTTTGGATTACATCCATTACTTCGTCCTAGCTGCTGTGGATGTAAAACTGATTCTTTGCATGTTTGTAGCAGCCAAAGCATACAGGAGAACTTCTTTCCCTCACCATCTTGACCAAATCAATCATCATTCCTTCAGCCTTTGGTGATAGGTCTAGCAAATATGGCATATAAGCACTGCCATTTCTTTATGAGATACTGAAAAAATAGGATACATTTTCTTGAAGTACAGTCCATAAAACTGAACATACTGCTTCAGCAGAGGCTTTGCAGAATCAAGTAGAGTGGAAATGGCAATTCATGTGTTTTTCAGGTTACATCCTGTTTATATAATCCATTTTAGTATTGGGTGTTTTGTTTGTGTCTTTAAAAAAACCCCAAACACTATAGCAGCATATTGTTCACTTGCATTTACTCTGTGACTGAGTCATTACCTAAGGAACTTTCCCATATCCAGTAATTCTTAATTTGGATTTGATCCTATCTTCATATACTGCTCAGAATATGATTTACTGAACTGTACCTTCTATTTTTAAGACTGTATTTGTAATCTTTTAGGATCCTTTCATTCTAACCTCACCGTCAAGCCTACAAATTTCAAACACAGCATTTGCATGTTTAATAAATATTCTCAATTATACAAGGCACTCAAAAATACCAAACAGATGCAGCAAAGATCTCTATGGAATACCATTTCATATTTCAAATTTGGCAACAATGTACTTAACTACTTCAAACTGTCTTACACTTTTCTTCCCATAGTAGATTCCTCCTGGTTATGCTTTCAAGACTACTTGTGAGGATATTTTAAAAAAGCGTCAAAAGCAAAAGTACTAAGATCTCATGACATAAAACATCTGCCTCCTGTCCACAAGGCCTGCTGTGGACAGGATTTCCTTTCATAAGAGGAAATCAAATCATTTTGTCATGAGCTATTCTCAGCAAATCCATTTTGCCTATTAATGATATTCTGATTACTTTTCAAGGTGTTTATTTTATTTTGGCAAAATTGTGTCCATGTCACATGTGTGTGTTCCCTGTCCCAAGCCAAATAGTCCAACTTTAAAAATATGTCATATTTGCCTCTCTCCAGTTTTCCAACACCTCATTGATTCTCCATGCACTTAAAAAGAACTAGAAGTGACACCTGAAACTACTTGCACAGTATTTTAAATACTATTTCAAGTTGTTCCTAATGCAGCTTGTTTTAAAAAGGAGTATGGTACCAGATTTGAGCTGAAAAGTCTTGCAAAATTTTATGTGTGAAGATACAAGTGTAGACTAGTTGATCACTGTAAGAATATGATTCATAATGGTTTTTAATTGTTCCTTTAGAAGAATCTACCTTTGAAGAACACCAGCATTAGCTTACTCCTGCTTCAAAGGATAATTCTTGTATCTATTGCCATAATATACAATACACTTATTTGCAAGCATTATTTTTTTAATTTTTGATACCAGATATTAAATAATTATCTATGCCAGTTTTGTTTTCTAGATCAATACACAACATTTTTATTAACAGCAGACATTACCTGGGAAGTTTTCACACAGTACTTCTACAGAGGTTGCTCGTTTTGTGTCTCCAATTTTCTGGTAACGTTCTTTTAATGTATCAGCCTATCACACAAGAACAAAACAAGCTTCTGAAGTTATACAGCTTGCAGATAAGCTTTCAAAAAGAAAAAGATCATGGCAAGAAAGGCTGATGATTTGAAATAGGATAGAGGAAGATATCAAAAACTACTACCTTTAAACCTTGCCATGGAAGGCTTCCTCTGAGAAAATACATAAACATATGACCTAAAGCTTCCAAATCATCTCTTCTACTTTGCTCTGAAACAAAATTCAAATATTAGAACATTTAATCTGCATAATTTTACATTGCATTTAAAAGGTTAGCTTTCAAATTACGTAAAAATGATTGGAAGGTATAAAGTACTCGAAATCAAACTGAGCATGTGGGGGACTTCCTGTCTACTATGGACTCCATTAAGAACACAGCTAAAGCAAAAAAAAGCAGATGCAGACCGCAGGTATATTCATCTCAATAGTACTTCGAACAAATTATCTTGCTGTAAGAAATCGTTTTTATTTTAAAATATATTTTGACCCTTTACATATATAATTGCAGTTTAATTCCAGTATTATTTTTTTTGATCCACTAGTTGTGAACTTGACACAATTTAGGAAAGCTTCAATTGAATTCATTTTCCTCTAAAAAATCATGGAAAAGAGGTTATGTTTCTCAGAGACCCCTTACAGAAGTTTCCAAGTAAGCCAAAGGTAGACTGAAGAAGGCTCAGAAGTCTTAATATTTGATCAGAAAGCAGCATGGAGAGGCATGCACATACGGTCTGCTCTGAAGTCTACTTGACTTAAAAGCTAAGTTATAGAAGACAATGCCTACAAGGCGACAATTTTACTACAATTTGTAGTATGGTAGTGGCAGTCCTTCAAAAAGTCCACAGAAGGTTAAAGAAAAAGGAAAGTAACAAGCAAAATACAATACAATTTAAGTTCAAAGTTTTAAAGATACATTCCGTATTATTTTTAAATAAAATCCATTATTCTTAGGAAAACTGAATGTAATAAAGAAAAGTAAACCTTTAAATGACTATTAGAAAACAGATTTTTACATTTTCACCTGACTTCATACTGTATTGCTGTTGAAACAACTGTTACAGTGCAATATGTTCTCTAGTAAGAGGTAGTATCTACCTCTAACTTTGATTTCCTCCCTGACATAAGGCAGAAAATCAAAATATTACCATATTTTCTGCCCAATATTTTCACAAAGACAAAATCACTATGCTTCGACAGCCAGAGAAATGGAGCAGAAAAGTAAACGAAAAAATGTTTGTCAGATTTTGAACACAGGAAAGTTATCAAAGGCAACCTGGCTTTGATCTGATCAACACAAAATATTGCCACAAATACACTGCATCTGAAAAACAATTCTTAATTTTCATATAAAAAGAATGATTTACTTATTACTCTGTTTTCTATCCCTGTCTTCTCATTTGAATGCTGAGTAAACACATACTAGCAAATGAGTAAGAAAATACTAAAAAAATGTAGAGCATAGGGTACATCTAGCTCCTTATTTCATCACACATCTCCCAGCCATATAAGGCTCTTTCACAGACATTTCTCCTTCTCCCATTTCCATGTTTCCAATTTGCTTGCCAACATTCTTCTTGCTTGTATCCACTCCTCCACTCTTCTTGTCCACTGCTGCCACTTTTCTCAGCAAGCGCCCTCCAGACAATCTGGTCTTATTTTTCTCTGCCAATCCTGCAACATCTCACTTGCTGACCATATGCTATCCTGATAAAATCACGTAGGTTGACAAGAGAGCAGGAATAAGCAGCAGAGTTCTGTGCCTGACAGGTTTCAGTACATGAAAGAAACGCTGACCCCAGTTGCCGGCAGAAATCCTGTGCTTTTTCTGATAGGGTGGACATGGAGATAATGAGTACTTCATGAGTACTGCTCCCAACAAACGTTTTGTGCAATGCAGTGTGTGCTTTATGTAAGACAGATCAGTGGTAAGATGGTGGCAAAGCATACAAAAATGTTACAAGTGCACAACAGACGGCCCATCTAAGAGCAACACTAAGGTATGGTCCACAAAAATGTATTGCAAGGTTCTATTTAGTCTTTCCCAAGGGACAATAATTCCTCTCTTTTGCATTAATTTCTACAGGAGATGCTTATGAAAAATAAACATCCCCTTTAAAAAAAAAAAAAACAAACCCAAAAACCTTATTGAGGCAACTGCTGCTTCACTGAAAGTCCTTTCTGCGAAAGGAGAAATTTTCAACCTTTACCCTGAAACGATTTTTAATGAAGAGGATTTTTATTTTGTTTTAAATGAGCTTTGGATCATTGGAGATATCTCTCTAGGATAGCTCTGTGGGAGCTACTTCTAGGATACACCATTTGAAGGCCCTTAAGAATCTGCTATGGGAAAGGATTTTGTTTGTTTCAATTTTTAGGGAAGGGGACCATTACTTAGAATGCATTTGAGTTCTTCACTGATCACTTTGGAGTAACTGAAAAAAACTGTAGTCAAATATCATTTCCTATGGATGGAATACTTCAAGATAAGCCTAAGAAACAGGAAATCCAAAGATTATATTGCTATTGTTGGAAGAAGGACCTCTGAAAACTGGAAAAAAAAAAAATAGCAGTGGACTAGCTGGAACACAAAAGAGTTTCAAGTACCAGATGGAGAAGGGGTTGTTGATGTATGCTGATCCTAGTGCATCACAATTTAGTAAGACTGAAAGGATCCATTGCCTAAAAGGTAATACAATCTTAAGATAACAAACACACAATAAAGGTTTAGGGCACACGGTCTCTTCTCTCTCAAGAAGGTCACCTGACACTAGCTAAATTAGTAAGAAACTAGTACCTGTTATTTAGTTCACAAGCTATAAATTAATCATCTTGCTTCAAATAGGTTGATTTTAGTAAGATCCAGAACCTCATTCAGCAGGCTATCTCCAGAAATTATCTTTTTTTAGCATACATGGTGAAGTAACCACAACACAGGTCAAACAACAGACATTCAGTCTTCAGCGAGTATCCATTATAAACGTATATTCCCTTCCAAAGAAAGTTTTACTGTTTGTTGTAGGAATGCTGAAACAGTAGAAACATGCTGTTTGGATCAGAAAACACAGTATTAGCTACTGGGATGATTACATGGTTTGATACACAGACTCGTTACTGTAATCACAAAGTAGATGGAAAGTGACAATCTACACATCCTGAACTGCCAGTCCATAAAGTTTAGCAAAAATAAATTTGAAAGTTATCACCCAGAGTTTGTAGTCTTACTAAAAATTATACGATTCCACACAATAATATAATTTGAGGGAAAGAATAGCATCCCTTCCTGACCAAAATCATCAATCCTAAATTTAATGATCCTGGCTCATCAAAACAAAGTTGTATGCCAATTTTACCATAAACACACATTGTATGCCACTGTTGTGTTAAGAATAATATGGACTTTACGGAAAAAATCCTGTTTTCAGTTATGCCTTTAATTAAGGGAGCAAAGGCTTATTTACCTCAGTTTATATTAGAAGCACTAGTTCATACAATTACGGATTTGTAAGGTTAGCTTACACAGGAAAAGGTATTTATCAAAGGCAGCTAAAATCTTGCCCCTGAGGCCCAGCAATAATTCAGTGGGTATGAGAAGGAGACTAGTGACCTTCCTATGGGGTTCTAGGTCTGGAAAAGGACTTCATCCTGCATCACTGGCTCAGTGACAGGTGAAAGTTGCCAGGACTCCTGGAGGGCCAGCACCACAAATCACAGTCTGTAACTGCAGAAAACATTTTTTTCATTGAGTTTCTGGAAAAACTCCAGGATTTAGGCTAATACAATTCTAGGTCCAAACATTTATTAATGTCTTACAATAAGAAATGCACTAAAATTGACACAATGTAGAACTATTTTTTGCTGGGTTACATTACAAAGAAGTCTGGATCCCAGAAAACTGATTTTAAGTCTAGAACATATGACAGCTCTAGCAACAGAGTAGATCTACTATAAAGGGAAGGGTGGGGTTCTTTGGTTTTTTTTAAAGATAAGCACTGTTCAAAGACCTTAATTTGGTCTTCTAATTAGCACTGAAGAGCAGAGTTCTTTCATTCCCAAAAGAGTCTCAGGCATTCATTGTAAGATAACTAACCTCTGCCTCTTCAATAATTAAGCATTGCCAAGAAAAGACCAATACAACCAAGGATATTGGTTGTTCCCCAGAAACCACTGGAGATAGCCATATTATAGCAATTACAACTTCATGTGACTACACTTCCTGTAGCCAAATAACTTAGACAATTCAGTAGGCTGTTTTTCTGAATTCAGGGAAATCCCCAAACAATTACGAATTTAGATTTCCAGCAGATACAGAAAATTGTAGGACTTTTACAGACACAGATTTTTGTCTTAAGCTTCCAGTCAGAATCTATGTTCTCCGGGATCCCTCTCTCCCTTCCTGAAAATGAAGAGGACTGGAAAAGAAGCATGGAGTAATTTTATCCCCAAGAGAAATTACCTTGTAGAAGCAAGGGCACCAGCTACATGCTGGTAAGGACAGCAGAATATTTGTATTTCCTGCAAACAGCTATCTGAATAAAGTCACATTGTTTTTCACATAGACAAAATACCTTCTATTCCAGATACAAGCTCCTAGCTTGGCACGAAACTACCATAAACCCTTGATCAAACATCTGTTTCTAGAACAAAAGATTACTGAAATAATTGGCTACATGTTCAGTAACTATACATCACCTTCTATACACAGCTCAAAAGACTGGGCCTTGGTAATTTTGTGTAAGTTTCAACTAAACATATGCAAACATTTAAAGTCTTTCTAGCTACTATGTACTTGTTATGACAGTTTTAAACACTACGGATCCTAAAACATACTTTTGATCAAAAGACAACGTACTTTCTTATTCATACACACTGCCATAGAACAAATAACAGTTAAACACACACATTCTTGAAATCAACCTATAAGAGAATGTGAATTTGACAGTCTCCTTTTTTACTGAAAACACTTTACTTTTACAAGGGTCAACTGACACCTTGGACAGTCAAGCAGCAGCAAAACTAACGCATGTATTACTATCAGACCATTCAAGATGCTGGGAAAATTACGTACAGACTAAAAATATTGCCCTAAAAAAAATTTCTCTTACTACCAGTATTTTCAGTGCTGAATGTATCCTATACACCACTGCCTGTGCAACCAAAGGGATAAAAGAGCTTGAAGAGCTTCAGTGTTCTGCATGTCCCACTGCATAAAT